CTTCTACATTTGCATACGTTTTCCCATTAAGATGGTGTTGCAGTGGACAAAAAAAGATGGTAATTTGATGGTGCCATATCTGGAAAATATGGTGGGTGAGGGAGAATTTCCCAACCCAACTACATAATCTTGTGTTGCGTCAAATATGCCACATGTGGACGTGCATTGTCATGGAGAAGAAGAACACCTTTCTGATTGACGATTGAAGGGCTTGATATAAACGTTCCAGATGCTGACTATAAATCTCTGCATTGAGAGTTCACTGTGGATTGAGGAGTTCGAAATGAATTACTCCCTTGATGTCCCACCAAATGCAAAGCACCACTTTCTGCAGATGGAGTCCAGGTTTTGGGATTGGAAGTGGTTTTGTCTAGGACTGAGCCATTATTTTTGGCATTTAATATTCACACAGAAAATCCATTTTTTGCCACCGGTGACGATTCTGTCCAAAAATGCTTCACGTGTATTATGTGCCAAAAGAGACAAAGCAACGTTTACACGTTGGAAACGATGATCATCGGAGAGTTTGTGAGGCACTGAAACACTTTCTTTATGGAGTTTTCCCATATTCCTTAGATATTTACGTATTGTTTCGTAAGAGACATGTCATTTCAGGGCCATTTCACAAGTGTGTTGCCTTAGGTTAGACTCAACAAGCATCTTCAGAGCATCAATATCAATTCCAACATGTTGGCTCCTTTCAACACAGTATTTAAGGCTAAGTCACCAGAATGAAATTTTCTGAACCATCGTTGACATCTACGAACATTCAAAACATATCCATAAACTTCTTTGATATCCTTAGTGGCTACAGAGGCATTGTTCCCCTTCTTGTATTCAAACAGCATTAAATGGCGAATGTGTCTTGTCGTGTGCCATCATTATAATGGATTAGAGTATACTAAACTTTACACATTATATAGGCTACACTAACATGACATTTTGGTGGTTCATTTAACTATTATACGTGATTTACGTTTTTTTGGGGGTGGTTAATGATAGTGTTTCAAAACACACCATTAATTTCTTGATGACCTAATATGTCAGATTTTATGTTGCTTGGAAATGAAAGGAGAGGAGGTAAACAAACTGTATAATAAGAAAGAATATGAACTTGAAAAGTGCTTTGAAAGAAAATATTAATGGGCAAAATGATTTATAGAGTATATTGCAAAAGAACCATGGGAACTGATTCTAACTTTATGTGTTTTCATAAAAAATAAAAATAATGTCACTGAAGTTACAATAATTATGAAAAGTAAGAAAAAGCTAGAAAGGAAAAATCACTAGTAACTATTAGTAAGTAAGTGACAACACCAAGAGAAAAGTGACAGTAAAGTTACTCAATAGTGCTGATGCATGTGTAAAACTTTATATCCTTGGGATGTACAGTATTTAAACACACATGTGTAGGGATGATGATTTGGAAACATTTAACGTTGAGAGAGCTGAGGATCTATATTCAGTGGAATTTGGTGATTGCTAGTCTAAAATATTTTTTGTTTGAATATAGGTTACAAACAGGGTCCAACACACTGTACAGTAGTCCCTGGTGGATACAAACCCTTCCAATAATGACTTCCTTTTAAGTATGACTTTTTTTCTGTGCATGAAACGATTTTACATTGATCTGACCTTCCACGAATGACTTTCTGACAGATATGAAATACGACCGTGATTATGGGGTAAAAGGTCAATTATCAAACTTTCTATAACAACTTTTCTTCATATCAATAATGTCATTTACAGAGACATATGAATACAGTATATACAGTATGGAACAAAGAGGTCACATGATTGGAGATGCTTCACAGCTTAGTATATGTATCTTGGTAACCCAGAGTATTCAATTCAAACTCCTTGGTACATACACGTAGATATTTTGGCTTAAAAATTTTCATGTCCTGAAAGGTAACCAGGGGAGGTCAGAAACTGTTGTTTGTCTTCACTATGCTCACAGAATTAAGGTTTATTCTTTTAGTGAATGTAGTAGATTTTGAACTAGTGGCCTAGATATTAAGTAACTTGATTTGGATTTACTAGCAAGGTGTGAAGATTATTAACTCGTAGTTTGTTGAGTGACAGACTTGACTAATCTTTGCGGTTTGCATGGCTAATAAAATGCCTCAAGGCATCCGGGAAAGCTGTTAATAACCCAAGCTGACAACAGGAAGTCATTGTGAAGAACAATAGGGCTTGAAGTGTTGATATTGAAATGTGACATGGATGTTGATATAGAAAAAAGTTGTGACAAAAGCAACAAAACATAGAAATTAAAGAATTTTTAGTCAACTTGAAGTTATTTTAATGCAACATATTACATTTCATGTAGTATTTGTATTCAGAGAGAATTACCTCTAGCAATAATTTATTTCAGATATTTATTCTTATTTCTTTACTGGTTCTTCAAATTTGCTTAATGGTCCATTTTCAAAGCTGGGATCAAAGGATCCAAGTTTCAAGGTGAAATTGTGGTTTAGGGTGGGGCTATTTTATTCAGTTAAAATACATAACTTCTGATATTTGGTTCTTGGCTTAAAATGACAGCATTTTATATAGATATTTTGTGAATTTTTTGAGTTGTAATTGTGGTAAATATGGGATGTTTTTTATTATGTTCGGTGAATATGGCTTCCAGTTTTTTTCCGGTTTCTCTGATTTGTAATTCTGGACATTTATTGCACATTATTTTATAAATTTATACTAAAATCGTGTTCTGAAAACTAACAATGAAACTCTTCTTGATATAATAACTGCCAGACTCATGAACATACAAAGCGACTCTGTTAAATGTGCAAAACAAACAAAGATGGACGATTTTTTATAAAATAAATTTTGTGTCAGTTTGTAATATTTTATATGTATGTAATAACTTTTATGAAATAAATGTTATCCATGAATAAATTATTTTACATAAAACACAAACAAAATTTTGAGTTATCTTTACTGAACTATTATCCATCATAACTATTATTATACAATGTACCAAATTGCTACATTATTTAACTACCTATACAGTATATAAACCATTATGCTCAACTCCTGGGAATAGCAAAAAGTTTCTTTCCACCCCAGATTGTCTTTCAGGCCGATTTTTTAAACCTAAATTCCTGCCATGAATTTGAATTGAATTGAAACCTGGGAAAAGTAACTGGCACAGCTTGAACCTGTTGATCCTTTGAACAATGACTTCTGAAACAGTACTGGACATTTAATGCCATTGAAATAAGATAACTTACAAGTATTTTTTGTGTAGACCCATAAAAGTAGGTCAGACTTAAACTGTGCTAATGGAATAACCTTGTTTAATAGAATCCTCAATTCTTAACTAAACATTTTGACTTAAACAAGAATTTTCCATGCATAATTGAACATTTTTAGAATTATATTGACAAGTATATTATTTAAGTTCTGCATAATAAATGTTAGAATACAATTTTCTAAATTTACATATTTTACATTTTTATTGCTTGGATGAATTAACTTAAATGTAATTGAAATTATGCATAATGAAATTTTATATTTTGGTTCAATTATTTAAATAATTAGCTTTTGATGGTGGTTTGGAGGGCCATGCTGATTGTGTTTTTATGTATTTATTTCAATTTAACTTAAAACTTTAAAATATGAAATATTGTATAACCTTGTATTTCAACTAAATATCTAGGTTAAGCGTAACATAATACAGTAATTTTTATATAATTAATTGAGATTAATTATTTGGTGTTATGTATTCCTTTGGAATCACACTCTTTTTAAAAGTTATTATTACTTTCAGATTTTTCTGTGAATAGCCAAAATGTTCATTTAACCTTAAAATGATAAAATTTTTTCACTGTTTATCTTCTAGTACTGTGCCCAGTCATCATGGAAAACATAGAGAAGTATCACTGGATGAAACAAGTTAAGCCACTTCATGCTCCTCTACAGGTTTTAGTTGTTGGATGTTTGTAAGTTTGAAACTTTACTCTATTTCAGATATGATACCTTATCATCTTTCACATAATAGCTTTCCTTGATTTGTGCTGCCCTATAAATGAGCAATTTTTGTTCACCATGAACCTTGAAGCTCCCACCTAACATCACATGTTTACACAAGGTATAGCTATGTTGTAGCATGCAAATAAGCATGCTAAAGTCTTCCTTGCGGAGCTGACTCCCTTTGTACTATAGAACACAATCATCATATCTCAATTTGGCATTTGTGTACAATGACATGTCTTTTTTTTCTCTTGTGAACTTTTCACAGAGAGGCATTTTTAAGTGGAAGTATCTACAAAGACATTGCCTGTTGTGGAAGTATTTATTGTTGGATTTTCACTTTCCAACATTTTTTTTGCACCTTCAGATTTTGTAGTCTTTTATTTTCACATTATTTCATTAGTATCAGTAACTTCCACTTTGTCTGGTGTGTGACAACAAGATGTTGTTCATGTTAGCCTCATACATACAGTGGCGTGAGATTTGTCTTTTGAAAAAATGACAGCTTTGGTGCAGCAGGTGGTGGAGTGGTTCATACAGTCTGTACTTCTTTTGTATTTGACGTACTTCAATCTATGTTTCTCATTTGTGATGGAAGGAATTTTGCTGTTTTTTCCCACTAGCTACCTTTGCCTAATCTTATACCCTTGTTGTCTTGAACCTACCTAAGTCTATTTTGTAATTTTTGGACTAGATTTATCTGGTATGTTTCACTCCTCTTTGTCATTTGTTCTTCTTTTTATGTTTTTTTTACTTTCTATCCAGTATTTAGTTACTTATACCATTACTTTGGAACATACATGCCTCGTCCTCTTTCAGTTATTATTTCATATGACTAAGCTTAACTTTGTGTTTTATTGCCTTTCTTCAACTCCTAAATTCTGGAGTTTTTTCTTCAGACTCCGTCTTTTGTTCATATTTTCTTAGTTGTAAGTTTTTCCATATTTGTCTTATACTCTACCATTTTCTGTTATTTTTCTCCATTCATCTTCTCTCTGTGGTAATACATCATTCCATTGAGGGTTTTTGGTGGATGCTACTTCACTTATCTTCTCTACAGTGTTGTGTTTATCTTTCATGGACTTATTCCTTCATATTTGATTGATTTGTTGATATAGTTTATTGGGGTGTTATTTGTTACTCAAGTCCTTTTGCTGCCTCCCTTTTCCCTCATATGTCTTTGTCTGGCTCCTTTCATGTGCCTGTTTGATTTTACTGGAGTGCTTGTTTCTGTGAGGTCATATGTTGGGGCTGCATGCCAATGTTCTTCCTTATCCTCATTGGTTTACCATCTCTCCCATGCCCTTTCTTTGCCTCTCTCTATCTCCTTTTCTCCTGCTTCCTATTCTTTCCCTTTCACCACTTCCTGTTTCTCTGTTCCCATCCATCCTCTCGCTGTTCATAGACTTCAGTGCTGTCAGTCTTGGCAATGACTATCCTATAGGCTCAGGGATGTTGGATCATGTTTACTTAGGTTTACAGACATCTGTTTGTGGACTGTGTAGTACTGGGAGTTCTGTCAGTGAGCCTTATCCTTCATTTTTTCCTCTCCTTCTCTATTGTTTCCTGTTCCCATTACTTTCCATTCTCCAAGGGATCTTGTTTTTTACCAACATTCATGACATGTTGGACCTAATGACTAAAGACTATCAGATGGGTTTCTTATCTTTTTCTCGGATTTATTCCTGTTTTTTTATAGCTCCTGAGGAATCTGTAGCAAGGCATCTGGTTTTAAGTCATTTCATAACTCATTTGGTTTCTTGACCTCCCTTGGTTTACCATGGGGACTTTTTCACCCTACCGAGGTAGACTTCTTAGATGCATCTTTTCTCATTCAGCTCTGTCCCAACAAGTCTCTTACACCTTCAGATTTTGTAGTCTTTTATTTCCACATTATTTGTTGTTCTCTTCTCCTCCTTAAGGAGGTGGTGAGTTTGGGTTGTTGGTCAACCTGGAAATCTCACCTCTTACACCCATATAGTACTTCATTCATTTGGGTGTTTTTCAGTTTGCATCTCCACAGGGCCCAGGTTTCTTTTCTTTTGTGGAGTGATTAGTTTGCCATACCCTATCCTTTCCTTTTCTCACTGTTTGGGATGTCCTATTTCTTTTGGGAACTTGGGCTTCCATGGAATCATGTATCCTTTTGGGTCATGCTGATTTGGGACATCTATAATAGATTCTGCATGATCACTGGTTCCTTGTTCTCCCCTCATTTTCCTTCCTTCTTCTTTGTTCAAAGACTTTATCTGGTGACTTGATACATCCAGTAGCATAGAGGGCTCTTCCTTCATCTCATCCAGGTCTCCATCTGTTTCCAGAAGCCTTCTTGATGAGATGGGGGCATGTCTTGATTCTCAAATGATTTGGGGTTTGTGGTTTGACAATGATTCATTCTATCATATCACTCTCTTTTGGCAGTATGTCAGACTTTGAATCATTTTCTTATGTTGGTTTATGAATTTGTAGTGATGATCCATATAACATAATCTGCTGTCTCCTATATAAGTTGCCAGGTGGGCACTTGGTCTTGCTCTCTCTGTTTCCACACTCAACCTCTGTTTTTGGACCCATTCTTTACATATACATCTAATAGCCTGTCATATTTCAGGTGTCTTCATTCTTGTTGCAAAATGTTTTTTAGGCCAGATAAGATACTATCTATAGAGGGGTCCATCAGTCCTCTGGTGTTCTAGTAGCTATGCTCTCGTCTGGGCACTCCTCAGTTTCTAATCCCTCAGATCTTGCTGTAGATGCATTCAGTCAGAACTGGTACAACCTTTTTTTTCTGTGCCTACTCTCCTATTCGTTTTCTCCCTTGTGTGCTTTTTCTCATTCTAGTCACTCCATGTTGAGTTCCCCTGCTTGCTCCACACTGGCTGGCTCACCTGTGGTTTCTTCTGTTGAACCTTCTTCAGTCCTCTCTTCTTATTCCTTTACCTCTGTCATGCACTATACTCAATCAACCTCACTTCTATCCTTCTCTCTTCCATTTGGCAGTGTTGTCACTCAGGCTTCATGTGTGGGTTTTGTCCAGTCCCTTGCGAAACATTCTAGACTCTCTTCACATGTAGCCTTCTTTCTTTCTTGTTCCATTCATTCTTCTTCCCTCCATGTCTATCCACAAAAATGGCACAAATTCCGTCATTGATCTCTGCATTGTGTTTTCTCCCTTTCCCATCCTTCTATGACCCATCTTGCTGAATTTTTTCATGGCTGTTCACCCAAGGTTTATCGCTTTTGACCATTATTTCTGATAGATACCTCTTCTCACACTCCTCACCTGCTCATCCCACTTCTGATGCATCTCTTCTTGTCTAATCTCAAAGTGGCGATTGTTCTCTACACTATGGAGGAAGTCAGCTGTGCTAGAAAGGGGTGTCATATACCTGTTGATGGAGGATGGTTGCATTCTCATTTGTATGCTACGTTGCATCTATACCATGTGTAAACACATGATGCTGGGTGGGAGCCTCAAGGCGAGTGAAAATTGTGCATGTAGAAGGCGGCACAAATTGAGAAAAGCTTATTATGTGATCAGAGAGTAAATATCTTTTCAGTATTGGAAAATGTTAACTTCTAAGGTTTATTGTCAAATGTTTGTAAGATACTTGAAAGTGCTGAGTGTTTCAAATCAACATTTTATTGTTGAATGTTTTTAAGACTTCCAAAACTGCTAAATCCGGCATAGCAAGTTTGATATGTTGGAAATTTCTTAAATACATCTGACCTCATACTTCCATCAAAGTTTAATGTTGAATGTGTGTAAACATTTGAAGTAATTAGATGGCTTATCTGGTTTTAACTGTTTTGTCCTTTAATGCTTTTGACCATTTCATGTTCTCATCTGTCTAAAAAGTATTAGTGTTTTACTACCATAGCATTGTAAAATATTTTTTAGAATTTGTGGTGCACACTGGAGGGATTTAGAGTTTTGGCAATAAAGGTAGAAAAAAATTCAAAACGACTTTTACTCTCCAGATAGCAATTTTTCATTTACTATTTCATCCTTGCAGCTTCAACAGGGCTAGTAGTACAAGAACCAAAATGTGTTCAGTTGTGTATTGGAGCTCAAATCTTGGACCTTCCTTTCTACAGTCTAGCAAATTAACAGCTAGGCCATGAACAGTTATATAAGCTGTATAGTTATATAAACCAGTACATAGATACAACTTTTCTTGTAATACTTGTCCTGATGAACCTGTGAGGGCATAACATTGGCTGAAATTAAAAATAATTATAATCTGGAGGTTAAAGGTTGCTGTTTTTCTGTAACTTTATTGCCAGTTGTTTTGATACATTAGAAATAAAAATGATAGAATATGCAAGTTTATTTTTACCAGCTATTAATTATGCCCTCTAGTGAGGATATATCATTTTGGACAATACTGATGATATCCCAATTTTATCTTATTTCATCTATTCTAAACTATTTTCCTTAATATATTATATAGAATTTATCCCTAATTGTCTGCCATCTGTTTTAATTTGTTATATGTAATATAGCATTATTTTAATGAAAGAGAGATATTTGAATGTTACATGTAAATGTGTATTAAGATATCTCACTATTACTCAAAACTGAAAAACTGTAGCTATATGTGCTTTATCCACATAGAGAGATTGAGTACATTAAGTTAAAATAGTTTTGGAGATGCAGTGTGTGTCCCATGTCTTGTCATTCACTAACTTATGATTGTGCATCTTGATAACCTTGCAGCATAATTTTCCTTTCCACAGGCTCCACTGTAATGTTGTTGTGTATAATGTACATCAGTTCTCCCTGCATGTTTTTATATAATCCATTTAGTACATGAGGATGATGGTTTCCTAGCAGTTGTTTCAAACAGATTGATCATACAGAAATTAATAATTTCTGCATCTGGCATCTTGACTGATGTGTGTTCATATAGAAAAATATTAGCACCCATTTCATTCTTTAGCTGCTCCAAGTATGTGATGGTTGAATGGTAATTATGACTGGAAGCCTTATTTTGATGAACTTGTACCCATGATCCTTCTTATTTTATGTACTGTTTCTTGGGGAACATAGCCAGGTTTTGCCACTGACCTTTGTCTTTGTGGATTCTCACCTGTTACAAAATGCTGTACTTTGCTTACCATGGCTGGGGTATGAGCTGTTGCAAGTGTCTTTCTGGATGGTTCTGGTGCTCTAAGTTGATTCATATTCTTTTATTTTCCATTGCTATTAACTACAAGGAATATTCATGTCTTGGAGATTCTAAATCCCTGATTTGAATATATCTGAGTAAATGAATATTTTGCATCAGAAAGAACTTTTACATACCTTTTCAAAAGCAATCAGTTTTTAGTGGCATCACACTACCTACAAATGGATGAGGCATGGCTGGGTTGTTAGGACATTTGACTTGCAAGTTCAAATCCCTGTCCTAACAAACATGCTCACCATTTCAGCTATGGGGGCATTATAATGTGATGGTCAGTCCCACTATTTGTTGGCAAAAGAATAGCCTAAGAGTTGAAGGTGGGTGGTGATTACTAGCTGCCTTCTCTCTAGTCTGTCACTGCTAACTTAGAGACAGTTAGTGCAGATAACCCTCATGTAACAGAAAAAAACAAATAAAGTGATGAAGAGTGTCAAAATTTGGTTCTGATACATGCCATTCCATCATGACTTTATATATTGGATGTGCTCATTACATGATGTACAGATTTACATATTCAAAATCATTTTATTATACTGTACTCCTTCCTTTGTATTGGTTTATTTGACATCTATTTTGTTCTTGTGAACCTATAAGATAATCTAGTAAGATGGCTTATACAAAGTCAGTAGTTTTGCCATTAGCTTTTATAATGTGGAAAACAATTGAAAAAAAATCCAGAAATTGATAAAGTAATAAATTATTTCTAAGATGAAATAGTATTTTGTACTTTCTTTGATTAGCAAAAGCACAATGGCATTTAAGGTGGGAAATTTGTCTACAAGTGATGACTAAAAATTTTTAATTTAGAAGTTGTCTCACCTTTAGTTGAATTACAATATAGTATATTTGCAGAAATGAACTTCTGTTTGCCTCTTTATTATTTTTTTCAAGTACATCAAATCCTGTGTACTCTCACTTCTGCAGTTTTCTCAATTCTGAGATGATACACACATCTGCACACAAATAAGCTATCTTCCCCTTGCATTTGTCTTAGAGATTTGCATGCTAACTAGCCTTCAGGCAACTCCTACCTAATTTCACGAGTTTTTCTCAAGAATTGTGCTACTACATAATGACATTATTATGCAGCAAAAGCCCTCCCACAGGAGTGCATCTCATCTCCTTGCACATTAACTCCATCTATACTTTTGCACTCGTTAATCTTCATTCTTTTGCATGGCACTGAACTAATCCAACATGTTTTGTTTTTTACAGTTTACCAAGATTTGCATAGCTTCAGGAGCTCAGTTTTCTGTCTTCAAATTATGAACTCACAAGTTCATGTAACATCTTCAACTTCTTGTGTGAGTGAAGAATTCCCTCACACAATTCAAGTTTCACATATGGCTTCTGTAGGCACATTGAATGTGGATGATGTGACGACCATTGTGCATAGGGTAGTGGGTTCCCTTATGCAGTTGAGAACTTCATCTCCCATTCCTTCATCATGCATTCCTTCCCCTTATTTTGAAGGGTAGATTGAGGAAGATGATGAGTTTGATCATTTATTTCCCCCTCCTGGTTATGCCTTCAGAATTTCACTTCCGGTGGATGATAATACTCATACTTCCTCACATTATCAGGACCTTATAGCACAGGTATGTTCCATTCTGCCCCTGTGTCATATGCCTCTTCCCATTCCCTCCTTGACAATCCTATCCTTAACAAAGTTTACACTTTTACTCTTCTCCCAATATTGCCTGCTTCTGTGGCTTGTGCTTGCTGGCTTTTAAAAATAGGTTTACACATTTACCCATTGCTCTTTCTCCAGTAAAAGACCTATCTGGCAGGCAACTGATAGGGTTCGGCATTTCTCAGAGTCTCCCCACTGTTAATTCCTCCCCTTTCTTTGAGTGGTGCATGGGAGACCTTTCCCACTAACCAGTTCTTAACCACTGTGGTGGTGGACCATGGAGAATTCTCACTGATTGGGACAGAATAGCCAGGGGTTGAACAAAAGGTGCCAATTCGATGGGATGTTCATAACATGCCAGCATACCTCATTCTACTGCCACCAGGATATTGGTTTGGTGTTGGATCAGTGTAGATCCACCCAACATGCATCCCACATCCTACTGCTGCCCAGATGTCAGTTTCCAAGTGGTCTGGTGTTGGATCACAGTAGGGCCAGCCCACACGTCCTCCATCCTCCCAGATGTTGATTCCTGGGTGGTTTGATGGCCTGCATAAGGCCTCACATGGTAAGGATGATCCTCCAACTGCGGACCAGACAAAAAATTCCCATTATGACCATTTGGTTCTGTACCAGAGTTGACACATCATGTTTGCATTCCCTCTTCCTACCATTGCTCGGATGTCGAGTTCCTGGGTGTCCTGACGTTGTTTATGTACTGGATCTGCACACATGCCCAGCCTGGTTTGTTGGAATGCAAGTTACTTTCCCTTCTACTTGCTGGTCATGAGGTGAAGATGGTTGGGACCTCCTCCTACCATGGTCTGTTTTCAAGCTATTTGATTGTTGCACTCGCTGATGGGTACATAGTATTTAGTCCTTGTTTCATATCTTTTTAATAGGCAAAAAAATGATGCATCTATCACTCATTGCACACCTAGAATTGGCATTGAAAAATTCACACCTGTATACAAATACATGTATGGTTGTTATGAATAGTATATTTGAGGATGCATTAAATCTCTTTGATAAACTGGCAAACACAAATGCTATTTTTCTTGCAGGAATCTATTTGGAAATGTATTTACCATTCTTCAGATTCCTTTTGTAGATGATTATGTGAGAAATGTCAGTCATTTTTGCATCTACTTTATGCATGCTCTCATACAAAATATAGAAAATTAAATTGGAGAAACAACCCAAATTGTATTTATTATTATGGTGTGAATGCCTTTTCCAAGCTGGTGGAGCATGATTATAATTAATTATACTTGTCATATGACATTATATTTAGGCCTATTATAGTTCTTAAAACTACATTCTTTTACTTAGTCACTTAAGGATTTTAAAGAAGTAGAAGAATGCAAGGACACAACAAACAGCTGGCTTGATGAGTTTTGGATTAAGCCAAATGCACTTTCAGCAATTTATATGGTGAAGTGAACATGTGGAATACTGTTATTATACACTCTTCTAATTCTTAAAAATCTCTAAAGAATCATGTTAAAAAATTTAATAGGCCTAATACTAATTTCTTAAGACATGTATAATTAACAAATTGTGTTTACTTTTAGTATCTCCCTTGTTGTTGTTTTCTGAGTGAGAAACAATTTCTGCTAAGTATAAAGTCAAACTACAAAAAAGGAACTTGAATTTTAACTTTTGTTTTCTCTAGGTAAAAACAAAATGTCAGAATAAATAACAGTGCTTGTCCCAACAATTATTTGCAATCCAAATATTATTAGGAATTTTAAGTAGGAAAATGATGAACTTCTATTTTTCTCTATATTACAATGTTAATTTTTCTATTTACAGCCTGATATTCATGGTTCCTGTAGGATGTGCTCTTTTTCCTCAGCGTTGGTAAGACTTATCATCTTTACTCTTTGTTTCTAAACACATTCTCAGAAACTTTTCTTAGAATTTAGTATTACTTTAGCAAAAGTTTCAACTTTTTTGTTTAAATAGTTTCAGTAATTACCTTTTCAACAAAATACAAGTCAGTATACTCAAAAAGTAGCAAAGACTCAGAATCTTTTGGTGCATTCCTAAGTTTAATATTATTTTTATTTCTTTCTGGACTGTTCTTTGGACAAAACTTCTGTATTCTTCTTAACAGCATGCCCCCCCCCCCCCCCCCAGTGGCACAGTGGTATGTC